ACAAAACAGTGCTCGCTGCAAATCTACAGAGCATAAATATTATAAATTTACTAATTTAAAAATATGGTTCCATAGCTACACAGGAATTACTATGTTTCAAAAACAGAAACTAAAAATTTCAAATTCAATTGTAGAATTAAATTAAAGTCCCTAGTCCTGTTTCATTTTCAAGCGAATTTTGGAAAAACTTATTTTGAAATTTACTGAGTTTTGTAAGCACATACATTCATAATATCAGTTTCTAAGGATACGAGGAAAGCCAATCATTTTAACTATGGGCGGTAGGGTATTCATTTTCGCTGACAACTATTGTATCAAAATATGAGTTATTTTCGAAAAGAGGTTATGTCAAGGTAGGGTAGGGGTGCCTTTCACAACGAATGATGACATGCATGTCGTCTGGTTTTTTACAACCACAAAAAGATTTTCTGCACTTTTGTTTCGCCGTTATATTTGGACTTGTATGCATAAAGATTTTTTCTAAAAGGGTTGTTTGTATATGAATACGTCGTATTGAACTACAATTTTAAAATATTATTCTTAATTTTAATTTCTAATAGACTATACTTCTTTTAAAACAAATAAATGTAATAGAATTAGTTAAATTATTTAAATTATCATTAAATATCAAATATAAATATGTATATTTCATTCATCAGTATTTTTTAAACATTATTTAAGGAAAGATTTTGACAATGTCGTCAAATAATAGCTATTTCATTTCTTTAAGTAAATTTCTATTTTTATGAACCTAGTAATATAGAGTTTCTCATGTATGCACAAAGGACATGGGTCATTTAATGACTTACATATTCTATCTTTTCTTATTAATTTCCATTTCACTATCGGTGTTTTATTGCTGCCAGAAATATTTCGATAGGGACGTCTGATTTCGGTATTTATTTATCCTAAACGAACGTTAAAGTTGGTTGTACCACTCGTTGTCTTGTGCATCCAATGTAGACTTTTACGTTGTCTGGATCCTCAATAGATGAGATATTGTATTGGTACACTAATGATTCATTGCGACATTTATTATTAAGAGTACAGTTATGAAGATTTCTGCCGTTACATAATTTTTGTTCATCTTCATCTCTTTTTATTATTATACTGTCTAAATTTCTTTGGTCTAAGTGTTTATTCAAGATATTAGCATTATGTTTCTTAATAATCTTTTCTAAGTTTTCAGTACAGCTGTAACTTAATTTTAGGGTATTTTATTGAAAATAGTACTGAGTTTACTATCTTTAGGAAAATGTTTAACGATTAATGCAAGGAATTTCTGTTCAAAATTGCTCTTTACCATTTGGTTGTATGGGGTGTATACCAAATTATTTTCTACTTCTGTTTTTTCTATTCTTTCCATTTTCATTTTTTATTATTTTATAAGTTATTTTGGGCTTTTGTAGCCATTATCTTTTAGAGCTATATTATAGAAATTAATATGTTCATAGAAAATCTTCTCATTTGCTGAATTTGTACTTATTCTCTTTTAGATAGATAAAGGTATATGCTTAATTATAGATGGAAGATGATTAGATTTAGGGTGTATATACAAAGGATTAGTATTGTTTTTTTACAAGGTATGTATACATTTTCAGTAAATCTAATATGTCTAGGAAGTTCACCTTTTTCAGTTTAGTGCTTGCAGTAACTTCAGGCATTTAATTTCTCTATATAATATCTTTCTAATTTTATCGATTTTAAAGTTTGTAGAGTTCTTTATAACCATAAGTCCATCATATATATATATTTCCAGTCTTTTGTACAGGAGTAAATGTTTATACTTTGTTTCCTGTTCCGCGTTAGGTTTCCGGTTTCTTCCAAATTCTTTTCATTCCCTTTCACTCTCAGTAACCCCTTGTCTCTCAGTGGCATTATCATCTTCCTTTGGGTGAATACATACACACACACACACATACATACATACATACATACATACATATATATATATATATATATATATATATATACACGTGGGTGTGTACGTGTGTGTGTGTGCAAATTCGTATCATATATATATACAAATTCATATCAGATAAGATAAAATATATTCCATTTAGCAATACTCAGAGAACATTTTTAACAACCAGAAAATTATATCAGTCGTTTTGCTTAATAGCTAATTATTTCGATATATAGTTTTGCGGTAAAATCATTTTCCTTTTTCTGGGTCTATATCAAGAGGACATCGAATAATCTTCATCATTAAAACGTTCTTAGCTTTTATTTCTGGCCAGATCTTCATGTGACTGAGTGTAAGGAATCTGCGTCGCTTTACAGCTTTGCTTCATATTTTGTCAACGCCAAGCAATCTGATGGTGACAATTTATTCTTTATTTGCCTGCTTGTGTTAAGTTTAAAACCACATTAGCACATCTATATTTAACCTCTGTTAATGTCTTCCTGTCTACTTAAGAGTAATTTAAAAACATTTTCTTTTTTTTTTCTGCGATCAAACAAAATGAAAAGTAGGTAATGATGCGAAAATATATACGACTTTTTTTTGTGCGCGTGCGCAAATGAATATGACTTTTAATAAATAACGTGAATGAAAGTTGGATATAAATGTGTCCCGCTAACATTAATTTTTAATTTAAAAGGTCTTTTCTGCCACTACTTTCCTTTTTTCGTTCTTGAATTCTTCCATCTATTTTCGCGACCTCCTCTTTATAAATTCGTATTTTCATTTCAAATTATTTCTTTTGCTTTCTCTTTTTTTATTTGATTCATTTTTGTCGCCTGGCTTGAAATACCTTATCTCAGACATGAAATCACATGTATATTATGTGTTCTATTCTCCCCTTTACTGAGGACTTGTGCCAATCTAAGTTAATATGAATAGATAAGAGCGCAATGACGAAGAGCAAGTTTGTCTCGAAGATGATTATTGTAGCATTGGCTTCTATCCTCATTGGGTTACTCTACAATTGTACCAATGTAAATTTTGTAAATCTGTTGGTGTTCGTAAACACAAGTTTTTGTTGCTATCTGTGTGTCGGGATTCCAAACATTTAACAACAACAAAAACAACACATCTTTTAATTTAAAAATGAAAGGGCTTATTATGTGAAAGAAAAATAGAAGGAGAACGTCAGTTGAAATAACATTTTTATATTCTTTTCAGAAATATTCAATGGTAATAAAATGTTCAGTTTTCCTTGCAGTGAAGTTTGTTTTATAAAATAATTAAGTGTTGGTGTGTTCATAAACAAAAGGCTTAGTCTGTGGTTGCTGGTTAATCCGGCTGCTGGCTAATCCGGCTGCTGGCTGTCTCTGTTCCATTTTATGCGTGTGTGTGGATGCGTGTATGTGTGCGTGTGTATGCACATGTAGCTTGAGCTTGCATCCGAAATTGTTGCCTGCGTTGAGAAGTTGTATGCTTCTATTTTTATATCCGTAAGGGGTTTCAAAATCTAGTTTCACATAGAGGTGTGAACTTTTTGAATACAAGTTTTTCATTGGTTAGAAAGCAATTTCACACTATTTCTCAAATTTGCAGGAGTGGTGAAGAGAGTTATGATTGTTATTTTCTAAATAGTCCCAAAATAACACGAGGTAGTTCTAAACTACACACGCAAGTATTCTGGCGGTATTTTCCTTGTAATGATTGTTTATCCAACAAACATTCTGATGGCATTTTTGGTGTTGAAAAATATATATAATATTTAATTCATATATATATATATATATATATATATATATATATATATATATACTGTTACATTGGAACATGCAAGTTACCACGACAAAAATGCATATTTGTGTCGATGTCTAATTTATCTCATCAGGTGTTTAACATTGGTGGTAATAAACGATTTAATTTAAAAGATATATATCTGAGAAAATTTCTCGGACATTCAGGCTAGTAAATGTTATTTAATACAGTTTATTAAAAAACAGAGCTTTTTACTTAAATATTTGTATCTATAAAAAAGAATGTATAAACATAAAATGTCTTAATATATATATATATATATATATATATATATATATATATATAAATAATTGATTTAAAATATGGTTATTTAAATCAATTAATTTATAATATTAATGCTCTGTAAATTTACATTGAGCACTATTTTGTAAAAATAAAATATCTATAAGAACACCGGATTTTATATCTTACTGTTCTTTCTTTTTATATTTATATATATATATATATATATATATATATATATATATATATATATATATATATATATATATATGCGTGTTTGTTTGGGCGACCAGTTTTCTTTCTGTCTTTTAAATCCTCCCTAAAACAGTATTATTTGTTTCATACTGTGTATCCTCAACATTTCAGCAAATAATGTCTAACTCTGGACATCTCTTGACATGCCTTCTCTTTCCTTTTTTCTCTCTCTCTCTCTACACAAGCGCAAGTGAGCAGGTTTTGCATATGTGTACATATACAATAATTCTCTCTTTACCTCGTGTAACATGTTTTCATGTTTACCTGCACATCTCTGTGTGTGTGGGAGTGATTTTGAAACTCATTTTAACAGCTGCAGCACCTAAAATGGATAGCAAATTGAAGTCGAATAGAGAATAATGTCATAATCAAGATATTAACATTACACATCACTTCAATTGGAAAGTTCTAAATGAAACCTCCATCAATACTGGAAAGAGTCATCACAGCTACTGGACTTGAGTAACCTATTACTCCATATATATATATATATATATATATATATATATATATATATAGATAGATAGATATAGATATAGATATATAGATATAGATATAAAAAAAAATTAATAGAAAGATTTTATAAACTTCAGCAGAAAACAGTAATGACTGCTTGGTCAATGGATGCCAAATATTTCCTTATAGGGAAACGGCTAATATTACCATTATCATTATGAGATTACGAAAGCAATGAAACCGGTTTTGTTTTGTTTTTATTCTTTCTTTGCGTTTCTTCCTCGCCTCATCTCCCACCCCACATATCTCACTATATATTTTAGTCGGCCCATTATCATTGAGTACATCCATGAATCACTCCTATTTTTTTCATATCTATCTATCTATCTATCTATCTATCTATCTATCTATCTATCTATCTATCTATTACTCTGTTGACGGGGCCTATAATACATTGAATACATCCTCTAAACAAGGTAAAGCATTCAAAAAGTAAAAAAAAAAGTCACGTACCAAGTACATACTTCCAAAGTCAAATAGAAACAAACAATACTTAAATATCTCTGAACCTCAGGAAATGCTTATGCTCATAAATATGAACCAATATTTACCTGTTCCCGAAACAATTTATACTTCATAAAAAAATAATTATTACCTATCCTCGTACCAATTAAATGCATTAAATACATAAACGTTTAATATTTATATATCCCCCATGACAACCAAATAAATCTTTACAGGCTCATTAATACTACTGCTACTACTACTAATAATAATCATTTTGATATTAAGTAACTAACCATGGTTTCACATATCGTAAAATCAACCTACTGATTCTATTTGTCTATCTCGTCACATTCTCCTCCCTGTGCATAGATTCAGAAAATCCTAAAGAAAGAATCACTTCACAGGAAATTTGTTTTCTACTTTGTCTTTGATTTTTTCCTAAAATTGTTCCGGTATATAAGTCATATTTCTTTTTTATATCTATATACTACTAAAATTCTATTCTTGTATGTATGTAAAATTGTTTCCGAGATTCAGCTTAAAGGATAATTACAACGCTAGCCAATTTTGTACCTTGAAACCTTCCCGAGCGTAGTGCCAAATTACATCAATGTGTTTTCGATACATCAATCCACCTATATAGATAAGCAATTGCATATTATATTATAATAATATTATTATCATATATTATTATTATATTATGTAATACATCATAACAACATTATTAAATAATATTTAATATGCATAACGCAATTTGTACAATTCACTATTCTAGATCGGAACTTTTTATAAACAAATACATCGGACGTTTAACAATTACTTGATAGCTAAAGAATGCGTTTCATTGTAAAATGTAATCTATATGTCTGTAAAATTGTGTTATATCATTGATGGTAAATAAATAAATAAGTGCATGCTGGCTTGCTGCTGTCATGTACATATGAAGAAGAAACAATATCTATAATAAAAAATATTGTTTTGAAAAATACCTAGAAAATAATGAAACAATGTACCCCAGAAGGAGGTATCTATACTTTATATTACTGCAATACAAATGAATCTCTCTAAGAAGATCATTGCAGATTATTTTGTCATTTTTGTTTCTAATGATATTCACCTATGAAAATTATAATACAGTAAATACTAAAATTGGAATAAATTGTCACTCTGTAGCTACTATTATTTGAATATAAAATCCGTTTGTATGATAACAATTCGCAAGTTCATTCTAGAAAAAGTAAATATTTTCTTATTAATTTCTTATTGCGTTTGATCTAATTAATATCCCAATATTACTTAGCTCAAAGCAAGGTAATGTGCATTAATAAAGTCCCCCAGAGGAAGAAACGCGTCGACTAAGAGTAGTTTTCCCTCTTGTCGCTTTTTATTCATTTTTTTCTATTCTAGAGATACACCTCTCTGGGAATACTTATATATATATATATATATATATATATATATATATATATATATATATATAAGAGAAGATTACAATAATTAAATATAGAAATTCTGACCAATTATTGAATCAAAGAAACGAACTTATTTTCAGGTGTAGACATAAGAACAAATTTAAAATTATATTTCTATTTATTTATTTGTTTATTCAATTTTTTTTATTTATATTATCTTTTATTTTACTTTTATGTTATTTTACTTACGTTGGACATTATTATTATTAATAATTTAAAATTGTGATGATTATTATTATATGATGATTAAAAAAATATCATGATTATTAGAGATTTTGCTGTAACTCTTTAATTCTGATCAACATCTCCCCTACTCGGTATATTAAGTTTTTTTGCCCTTTAAGGAAAAAATTAGGTATTCTATTTTATTTTTGCAATTGGCTAATTAGTTATTCCTTCCTTTCCTTTCTTTTCTTTCACTTCGCCCCTCTCTCTCACTCTCACCCCCCCTCTCTCTCTATTAATATTTTTCCTTTGCATTTTTCTGTTTTGCTTTCTCCTTTTTTTTATCTGTCTAGACGGATTGATACCATTTCTCCAAAACTATCCGTTTGAAGAGATGAATTTAAAAATATTCATGAAATAAATTTTAACCGATATGGATTTTTAAGTTTTTCTTGATTTATTATTATATTGCTCTGTAACTTACATTGAAATCACTTTCGATTAATGTCCTCCTTGAATTATCTCTACCAATTACAAATTGTATTATATATATATATATATATATATATATATATATATATATATATATATATATATATATATATATATAAACTATTAAATTAGAATATGCAAGTTACTACTACAAAATTGAATATTTTGTTTCGACTCATCAGGTAATTAACAATTGTAATTTATGAAACATCATTTCTTTTTACATTTGTGGAAAATTTTCCATAAAAGGCAAAAGCACAGGAAAGAGTTGTCTGTAGACTCGAGTGACAATTCCCTTGTCATTGGAAGATTATCACGGATGTAAGCAAAAATGTCATGCATATGAAGGCGAGATTATTTTCGACAAAGTGGAAGATAGCCTGGAACAGAGAATCCAATGGTAGCAATGGTAGAAATTAAATTATTTCACAAAGTGCAAACATCTGGCAAGGTTCCAAGAAAAAATATTTTACATCGTAGAAGTTTGAACGGATACCAAGAATATAGGCGAAAGAAAGGTTTAGGTGGGTGTTTTTGTTTACTAGTTTTCTCGTATTTCTCTTCATTGTATCTGTCATAAAAAGATTTGTTCTGGTGAGGAAAAGAAAAAGGCCAAAATAATTATCACTCTCTGTCGTCAATGCCAATACAAACTAGGCAGAACGTGACTGAGGCTAAAGCATAATGTTGCCTTAGAGTTGACCAACGGAAATACATGCAAGCACACCTACTCATGCGCGACATAGCACTACAAATAACCCGATATTATGTGACTGTTGTTCAGAGCAGTCTCTCAAAGCGCTACCAAAGAGTTCAGGATCCTTACCACCAATCGATGTAGCAGCCAATGAACTGCCAACCAGGTACCCATATAATGGAAAGTCGTAGCCATTTGTCAGATCACCAAAAAGTTAAGACAGAGTTTGGTTAATGACCAACGAAGGTCTTTTCAAAAAGACTTCATTTATTTCATTTTTCTAAATATCTGATTTCTTTCTTTGGGTTTCGAGCAATTTTTGGATACGGAATGTCCGGTGTCTGAGTACTTTTCGCTGTTGTCGGCCATTATCAAATCTTTTGGGACTTCTTGTGTTGTCGTCTGTTCCTTCATTTTCAAGTCTCATGTGCTTTTATGTGAGTTCACATAATAGTGTGGGCTTTTTCTTTTATTATTTTTCAAATATATTTAACAATTTTTCCCCTAAATTTGATATTATTTCATTGATGGTGGGTTACTTAATGCATCCGTTATTTGTAGTCTTTTCGCTGTTTGTTGATGTACAATCAGTTAAATGGCAGGTTAAACGGCACGATAATATGGTGTTTCTGAAACCAATATATTTTTTTGTTTTATATATATATATATATATATATATATATATATATATATATATATATATATATATGAAGAAAAATATACAGAAAAAATAAACAAAAATCTTAATATGCAATTATGCTGTATTAATGTTAATATAAAGTCAACGTCGGACGTTTCGGTCTATTTAAGACCATCTTCAGGACCTTTTCATTTTAACATAATTAACATTAGAACATATAAAAATTCAGACGATGGACATTAGAGAACAATTAATCCAAACAGATAACTGAAATTTTTATATAAGATCAGCGTTCCGTTTAAATATGATCAATCATATATTTCATCATTATTTTCGATTTTTTCATCTTTACGCATATATTTTTCTTTCCTGTATTGCTTTTTTATTTTTGTCTTCATTTACTTTGTATTTCCTTTCATCCACCTGATCTTTCTCTTTTCCTTCGTAGGGAATATAACGAAAATCAAATTATTCAACAAACCTTTTGATTGAATCAAGGTTCAATACCAGTAATTCGATGAATACAACACAAAATGTAAATATATTTTAACATTATTTTCTAGGCCTGAACATTGTTTTCGGGCATGAAATAGACTGTCGCCACTGTGTGGAGAGCAGTTCATATATATATATATATATATATATATATATATATATATATATATATATATATATAGAATATGGTAATCTGTATGGAATTTCCAAGAGGTCATAGATCCAGGGAGAGCTCTATGTCAAGAGACAGGGCAAAATGATTAATTAACGAATATCAAACACTAAAAATCCCATAGATAGTCATTTTCATTTCATGAAAGCTATAAAAATCGCCCTCAATCTTTCATACCTGCAAATCATATATAACACCGAAGAATTTCTCCGGGTTAAAATAACGAAATACTGGTATCTTAATTAGAGAGTGCAAAAAGAAATATGTAAGTTTAAGATCATGCAAGAGTGGGGGCAAAGATGTAAAATCCTAGAATTACCATCAGAATTTAAAGTTTGCAGACCTAATTTAATACACTGATTTCATATTTAATTCGCTAAATTAATATGGCATTTAAAGAAGCGGGTAAAGGTGATAATTGTTGAGACAATGGGAATTAGAGAAAATACAGTCTGGCTTTTACACGGCTAAAATTAAGATGTATTCAATTTATATATATATATATATATATATATATATATATATATATATATATATATATGGGGGTGTAAAAATATATAGAAAAAATAGGAAAGAACTCGTTAGGTAAATAATCCAAAAGTTCTTTAGTATTTTGTTATTATTTAAAAAAAAACAGTGTTCGATACAAAAGTAGAGTTAAAAATAATTATTTATTTAAAAATATGATTCAACACATAAGAGTTCAAAAACAGTTTAAAAATTCAATATAACTTTGTGAATTGAAAACAAAGCTCTGTTCCATTTTCAAGCGAAATTTTTATGGAACAGAGATTGGTACATTAATTCAATTTAATTCAAATAATTATATTGAAGTTTTCGGCCCTTGTTTTGGAAACATGAGAACTCTTATGTATCGTTGGAATCATATTTTAAATAAATATATATATATATATATATATATATATATATATATATATATATATATATACCAGGGAACTAAATAACAACGTATTTTTGCGTCCATTGAAAACACGATGAGTTCGGATACATCCATATGTAATCGTATTACGCATTTCCCGTCATATCCAATAAAAAAAGACTAAAAAAAAAATTATATATCAATAAATATTTACTTACGTTTCTACTTATTTTTTTAACATATACCTATACACAGCTACATCCCATCGTATAAGGATTTCTAACACATAATATAATTTATTTATATAGACATGCAATATGCTTATAACTATTAGCACGCTAATACAAACAAATAAAGTGTAAAGGACCATATAAATATAAAGGGTATTTCACAGAGAGTTCTAGACATTGAGAGTGAGCAGAGAAGACATGGACAGAATGATTAAGAGACTGAGAGAAATCTGAAGAAAAATAGACAAAAAGGTAAAAAGGAATATATTTAGAGAAAGATAAAAAAAAGAAGTCGAATTATTGGGAAGAAAAAAAAAGTGCGAGAGAAAAAGGCAGGACATATAATCGATCAAACGGGTAGAATAGATGTTGTGCAATCGAATAATCCAATCGTGTCAGTTATTAAATTCCATAAAGTTCAGGGAATAAAAAAGCGAAAATTTCTTTTAAAATATCTGAAAGACGTCGTCGGTAGGTGGGCACAAGAGATAGGTGGTGTAATGGGTAGAGGGCTGGTTGGTGAATTTCCACAAAAGAAAGATTCTTATTAAGGAGTCAATATCTGATCTTTTGACACGCGGACAGCTCTCACGTGTCGGCAAATCGATGATAGCGCATTAACCCTCTTTTGCTTCGTCTTAACCTTCGTATCTTGGCATGGAGCTGCTTGTCATATTTTTTTTTCTGGAATTTACTTCTTTATTAAAGAGAATTTTTTAAAATTTTTATCCTTTCGCCTATTTACATTTCTCGCTCCATTTTTATCTACCAATTCCTCTATCCCAGTCTACACATTTCTCACGCTGTATCGCTGTTTATACTTATCTATCAATCTATCCTTTGAAACCTATCAGCCACGATCTTCTCATATTTCACTCTATCCTTCTTATCTTGAAAATTGTATATCTATCTATCTATATATCTATCTATCTATCTATCGCAATAATTTCATTATCTATCTATCTATCTATCTATCTATCTATCTATCTATCTATCTCAATAATTTCATTATCTATCTATCTATCTCAATAATTTCATTATCTATCTATCTATCTATCTATCTATCTATCTATCTATCTATCTATCTATCTAAGTTTAGTCATTATCTATCTATCTATCTATCTATCTATCTATCTATCTATCTATCTATCTATCTATCTATCTATGTTCGTCTTAAACATTCCGCGTCAATCCTCTCATATATTAGTCTATTTTTCTCAACGAATTCATTAAAATATCTATGTGTGTGTATGTGTACGTATGTACGTGTCGTTATCCTCCCTTATTTCACTCTTTTCATTTCTTTCTTTTTTAATTTATGCAAAATCTCTCTCTCTCTCTCTCTCTACATATGTGTGTGTGTGTGAGTGTGTTTGTGTGTATGTGTCTCTGTATGTGTGTTTATGTAAATATTTGTATGTGTTTCTATCCACTCTTATTCACCATATTCGTTTCTTTTTCTGCTAATTTATACAAAATCTATCTATCTATCTATCTATCTATCTATCTATCTATCTATCTCTCTCTCTCTCTCTCTATATATATATATATATATATATATATATATATATATATATATATATATATATAGTTTATGCAAAACTAGGTAATCCACATGGGTAGACCAAGGAAGATGATATCCGGAGAGCTCAATGTAAAATTGAGCCGATATGTTTGAATAAAAACAGACCATTTTAAGGTTCCATGTAATAAGTTATTTCACCACAACCCTTTAACAGGGCTCTGGATCATCAGACTTTACTTCCAAATGAGTGGGTTAGATGGGGAATTGAAATGGTACATCTAACCCACTCATATCTTATCTTCTCTCCCACCTCACTTCCTCACTTCGTATATTTTACATATACTTGATGCGGTCCGTCAAAAACGTGTGAATTTCTTTTCATTTTTCATTTCAACCTTTGGAAGTAAAGTCTGATGATCCAGAGCCCTGTTAAAGGGGTTGTGGTGAAATAACTTATTACATGGAACCTTAAAGTGGTCTGTTTTTATTCAAACATATATAAATATATATATATATATATATATATATATATATATATATATATATATATATATATATATGTGTGTGTGTGTGTGTGTGTGTGTGTGTATGTGTGTGTGTATTTGTGCGTATGCATGTGCCGCTAACCTTTCTTATTTAACTCTATTCGTTCCTTGTTCTAATTTATACAAAATCTATCTATCTATCTATCTATCTATCTATCTATCTATCTATCTATCTATCTAAAACTTAACAAAGCTTCCCACACATCTCTTTCTATGTCTGCTCACCCAAATAGACTTATCTTTTCTTCTCTTTTTCATATACTTTATCCACCCGTGTTTCCTAGTGGCTGGAACCTTAACGAGTTTCTCTCTGATACTCGTAGTCAGTGTTCGATTTTAGGCAAAAAGCAAGATTTCGTGTTCATTCTTAATTCAGGCAGATTTTCTCTGAAAGGCCGATTGCCATTCAAATCTCCACTCCAATAATCAATATATCTATCAATAAACCCAATCATTAGGCATGATGAGGATGATTTTCCTTTTCTCCTAATACTAAATTTATTTTTAAAAAGTCTCGGTGCTACACAATCTCTTTACTTCTGAAATCAGGTGCAAAAGTTTTCTTTTTTTCCTATCATTCATTTTTCAGTTAATCTATGATCCCTCAGATAAAACTTTCTCGTCCTGGATATGATGATAAACTAAATCCGGCAGCAAGGCCGCTGATCTGGGGGTTTTAAGGAGCGTGGAACCATTACTGTTTTTCCCAGGTTCATCCTGACACGGGGTGGTAGCACCTTTTAGGGTCCCAGCTATTGGTAAAAGAGGAAAAAAATAATATTACCAGCAATTAATGTTTCGAAAAAAATATTACCAGCAATGCAGTTCTGAAAAATAATATTACTAGAAATACATTTTTGAAAAAAAAATATATTACGAGTAATATATTTTTTGAAAAAAAAGTATATATTATCAGCAATAAATTAAAAAAAAATGAATGTTACCAGAAATACATTTTTGAAAATAATCTTACTTACAATATATTTTTGGAAAAAAATATTAACAGTAATCAGTTTTGGAAAAACATATTAACAGCAATACATTTTTGAAAAATTATTATCAGCAATAGATTTGACTCTAGACAAAAATACCTCAATTAAACCTGATCAACAAGCTGGTTTTGTAGAACGAATACATATTCTAGTCATACGAACCTATCCTGAAAATCTTGCACATAACTCATTGAGGTTAATATGCCGTTAAACAAAATAAAGCAAATCGACACTTTCGATCACATTTAACCTACGATTAGAAAATCGTGTTTGTGCAATCGGCGTGGTGTAATGATTAGCAAGCTTGTCTAGATAGAGCAATTAAGATTGAATATTGAGTTCGATCCTCACTGGGTGCCCACACTTTCGGCCTTGTGGCACGTCTAAGCTATGCTTAGTAAAGCACTATATGTCCTTCAGATACTTTTCAGGATGCGCGCTGTCTTTCATTAGTTTTTTTTGCTCTGCTGCGACAACGAGAATTAGAAATGCCCTTTAAGGATGATAACGAGCAGCCGGTTATTTTCTTGGAAAATTCTGTCCGCTGACTAGTACTAGTATACCAGGCAGCAATGCAGTGGGCCAGTCCACTCTCAAAAGAGCAGCGGTAGAAGGGTAGCAGTAGTATTTATCTGAGAATTCTCTGTATATAGATTCGCTGTCGTGCGTTCTTTGTTAACGCGATGAGATTGCTAATCCAGAAGAGATCCTCTGCGATTTACGTTCCCAGAAACTTAATTTTATTCCCCCAACCCACACAGATCCTACAATATCCAAAGAGACAGGTTCTTCCCCGTAAGTCCACCAGGAAATCCTTTACCTTCATCGTTAGAGAAATTGGATTTGAATTTCAGTTCAGTTATAAGTTTATTTATTATTGTTTTGCAAGGGTTACGTATCAAATAGTTTTTCAGTACTAATTTAATAACAGCACTCGAGAAACTGAAATAACCAACTTAACTTCCTTGCCACAATGCAATGACAATCTTCAAGTGCATCAAGACACACATTTTATGCAAGGTCCAACGATAAAAGATATCCCTCAAGAGCTTTGTCCTTAAACTGATAAAACTAAAGTATCGCCCTGCAGGTAACACTTCAGAATTTAGTAATAGGCGACAAACTGAAAAAGCCAGGTTTTGATATTATTATTATTATTATTTATTCATTTTGTGAGTACAGAAAAATCTCTCATCTACGAACACCCCCCTCATGAATGGATTTCGGATGCAACGGACAAAATCTGCAGGCAAAAAAAAAAAAAAATACATTCAGGAAAAAAAACAAAAAAACTTCCAAATCGTCAGCGATGTATTTTAAAATTTGCTGCTCAGCGGAATGAGTCGTTTTAGTTCTCAAAGTGACCGCTTGGCCGCGATGGCTGAATTTTCAATTTTAAACAAAGATGGGTGTACAGTATGTAAAGTATAATACATTAGCGCGTGCGTCAGAACATAGCTGTGAGAAATCTATTATTTTTGTTGTTTTGATTAATATATCTATATTAAGTATATATTTATTTATGCCATATATACATGTTTATGACATTTACATTATGATCATAACTATTGGTAGTTGCTATAGCGGTTTATAACACAAAAATAATCCCTTCCCATCTACGGACCATCGGCTTTAACGGACAACCCCATCACCTTATTAGTCCGTTAATGAGAGGTTTGTCAGTATTACGTATCTTAAAATTTTGCGGTACAAATTTAATAACAAGTAATAAAGTTAAATAAACAGATTTTCTATTAATCGTAGGTTTAGGTCATAGCCCATTCAAAGGATCCTCTCCTGTATAAATTATATTGAATTTAGATTTAAGCTTCGTTTTTCAAATGAGAATAATTCTCATTTGGAAAACGAAGACTACAAAGATTTCTGTAGCCTGAAAGTGATTTGAGTCTCTTGTTTAATTTTAAGCCGGCTTTTAATGTTCGTATATACTTTTCTTCAAATCTCGCGATGTTTCTTTGAGGAGTTTCGAGGGAGCCTTTTCGATTTAATTTCTCTGTCTCCTTATTGTTTCGTGCTTTCATAAACAAAAGTGTCGCCTGAAAGAATTTCTATTTTTGGTTGTACGCACTGTAATTATAGAAGAACAACCCGTGAAGTATGGACTGTATCGTCTGTGATAGTATCTTTGCAGCGAAGCTTTACATATGAATTGGTGTGGAACTGCACCGGTCCATGGCCTACATCCAACTCTTACACATGGCTCCATGAAATCGCATGGGCTCTGTGACTGCCACATCAGGGTCAACAGCATGGTTAAACTTTATGATGCTCATCGGAAGGATTTCCTGACCCCACCATTTAAAGAGAACACCTCTCCGTAACCCACCCCTACCAAGCGGCCAACGGCCAGTTGGCATCCTCAAAAGTCAACGGCTTTATCATTGGTCGGAGGAACTTCTGAGAGGAGTGACGGGGTAGCCACAATATCCCCGGTGAAAAAGGACTATTTTGCCTTTAATATCACCATGAACCACAATTAAGGGGTGGGGGTGACCACAGCGGCGCAAAATATGCTGAATAAATGATGATGATGATTCTTTAGTGTGAGTATAGTTGAATGGGAAATAGATAAAATGATAAATACATCAGAAAATTTAACAGGAAGTCATCGACCGGAATTATCAGATATGTCTCATTTTTTTATCTAGTATTTCTCAGTTACTTCTCTTCCTGCTTCCACTGAATTTGAATATATACCATCCGGACAAGAAACCGAATCCACAATTACTATGTCCTTAGATTCCGAAAGCAGTGCCTTAATCCAAGAGGCTATTGTCCTGGTTACTCCCAGACATAAAAAGGGGAACGAAGACACTCTACCTCCATTGATTAAATAAAGACATCAGTTCGAAATTTCCGAAAGTTTAGCTGGATCCATGGACGAAGAAAGTCAGAGAACCCAGCGGATTAAGCGTTGTGGTAACAATAGCAAAGATGAGGACATTAGTCTGAATGTAAATAATGATAATTCCTTATCCCAGAATTTCAGACAGAAATTAAATTATTCGCTTCGTAAATCGTTGATAGTTTATACTATACTTCTGACTTCTGATATAGCAAACTGACTTCAAACTAATCAACAGACCCTTCATCTAACCTGACAATTACTTGTAAAATCCAAGAAATGAAATAAATAACAGATGGAAAACTCAGAGAAAATAAATCGGGCAGAAATACACTCAATGGTTACAATCAGTTTCATTGTTTATTTTCTATTTCATTTAAAGGTTTTCTTTTGTCAGTGTTTGGCAAAGGTCAGATATTGTCAAGCCTAGGGGCGGCTAACACCAACTAGTAATTAGTTGACTATCTATCTACAGAAACAGTGACGGTATGTTGATTTTAGAAGGAATAAATGAACCGGAGGGCAATTATTAGAGCGCCCCCTGCCCAGGGAGTTATGCTGCATTGGAGGCGGTCGAGACATACCACGATACAAAGTACTAGTTAACCGTATTATTTGTGTGAATGTGTTTGCATTCAGATTTTTTTTAACCTGTTGATGACGCTTTCACCTGGAATGTAAGTTTGATACAATAGAAATCAATTGAATACTATACAATTGAATACAATGGTCATCTCACCCACAAGGTAACCAATGAGTCTATGATTCGGAATTAAATTTAGAAAAGTTGTTGCAAAAAAATACCTCGCCAATTTAGGAGTCATTTACGTACACCTGAGTAAGACAGTCATTGTGAAGCAAAGCGTTTATTTATTTTTTTTACGTAAGTGAAGAGGGAGAACCTCTCGACGGCCTAACGGTTTTGTTGGGTTTGAACAAAGACAAATGTCTGGGAAGTAGGTGAAACTCTTTTCAGTAAAAACGCTTAATTTTGTTAATTAAATTTCATTTGAGAAAAGCAATGGATTTGAGTTGAGAAATCAGAATTTGGAACTCATGGAACAATGTGAAACGCCGGCAGGTAGTACAAAGATTTCTTTTCTAAGCGACTTCGGTCAAGTTCAAGAAGCCCATAACCTTGCACCTCTGTCACCTGTAAACTCTTAATCTGAACTCTATAATCTTTTCAATGGCCGTATGATAAGTAGTTTTGATTTCAGAGTTGCATTTCTTCCAGATTGATTGCCAACGATGGTTAGAGATCTCAGGTTGTCGCGTTATTTAACCCATAGCTCGGAAGAAGAGATGGATTCATACCTTTTCCAGGGGTAATTGTGTGAAAGCGAACGTTATGAACTCGGCCGGATTTTGAAATCAGATAACTATTACTCAACCAGAACATCTAGAGCTGCGTTTCTCAAACTTTTTATCCTTTCATCTCCATGTCTCAAGGAACACCTGCATACAAATTATTAGATACGA